AGTTTCTTCTTAAGAATAATGTTTTTTGTTTATTGTGTCTGTAACTACCGTTCGAAGAATGTTCAGCTGCAATATTTTTAAGCATTGCTGCGTTTCTGTCACCATAGTACTATTATAATTTAAATATAACACAAGAATTTAAAATTTTAATTTCTTCTGCTAGAATTAAGATACATGTTTGCTCATAGGAACCGTTTTATAATTTGAATTCTTTCTCTTTTGGTTCATATTAATTGCCTTACATATTTATTAGATTTGTTTCTATGTCATTTACCTTGCATCTATGTAAATTAGAGAAATTACTTTATACTCTGAAACTCACAAGTAATGAATATTCAGATATATGAATAAATCTCAATATGAATTATCAATGTAACTTTTTGGATGACATTCTTGAAAAATAACAATTGTCAACAAATTGAAATTCACTTTTAGTCTAGAATTTTGTTTTTTGTAGATCATAGAAACATTCTTCACAAATATAGACCAGCCTTTGAAGTTCTCTATCAGACAGAGATGATACAGTGCACTTGAAATCAAATTCCCTGAGGCAGTGCCAACAAGATAAACAGCCTGAGCTCAGACTTAATATTTTATTACCTAAATGCTTTACACTTTGTCATTTTAAAATCTTGAACTTAATACATTTTTGTTTACGCAGCCTGCTCTAACACTTTATTCGGTGGGACTAGACAATCACCAAATAATTTCATATTAATAATTTTCGAATGTAAAAATAAAATAGAACAAACTAATATATTTAATTACCAACAATTAATATAGTAATATTAAAATATATTAGTTGTAATTAATTGTTTTAATTATTATAACATGCTGAGGTTGAAAATTATTCTCTTAAAAGATACTTTAACTGTTCTTTACAACTGATTCAATTGATATCAATTTCTTCTTTCTCTCTTTTTCTAATTAAGAACTTGAACTTTGCCAAAAGTATTTTATTGCAGTTTAGTTTTATTCTTCAACATTTGAAAATATTATTTGGTAACAGAACATTCCTCAAGTTTTTAGATGTTATTAGGGCAAATATAATTTTACGCGATTTAAAACCTCTATCCCAGCTACATGTTTGGCCAATCTTGAGTTACAAATCTGCCATCAAAATAAAATTATTATACAAATTTAAAGTCCTTTTTAGATAAATATTTTCTTTACATTAAGTTACTTCAATGTTTTCCATCGTTCTTTACATATTCTTCTTTGAAAAATTATACAAAATGATCCACAATGAAAAGTTAGGAAAAACCTACAGCCAAAACCTTCATCATAATATAACATTTTTGAGATTTTTGAAAACAAGCGGACTTTTCAAGCAAACATAGAAATATTTACTAGAATAAATTTAAAATATTTATGCTTTTTTGGGAAACAATATGATAACAGAAGATAAAATTTCAATTCTGTGTGATGCCTATACAGAAATAAACTCTTTCGAATATTCTTTGGGCTTCACATAAAAGTAGTATATGAAACACTACTGTACTCTCATGAAGTGTTTGCAACAGTAATAAGAAACAAGGCTTTATATGGTGCAGGGATGAACTATCAGATGACAATTATGTATTGCTTCAAAGTACCTAGAAAGGCACTCTTTGTCAGTTGAAGTATCCATTTCTTTTGCTAGTTTTCTTTCATCAGGTATGCTTTTAGGTGGGGTTTTGTATGTCTTACAAACAATATTTATGTCTGTTAAAAATTATTCACATATTACTTAAAAAAGTTTTAAAAAAATGTTAAGTGCATTAATTGCCTTCAGTATGAATGAATTAGTTTCAATTTTAAGTCATAAATGAAAATCAAAACATGCAATAGGAGAGAGGCTTGTTACATCAGTTAGTAACTATACGAGTTTATACGACCTGCAAGTGTTGAATGGTACTATCTAGTTATTAAAGCTATCTACAAGTAGTATACTCACAACGAATACTAATATGTAAGTTATAAGAGAGATAATTAAATGTGTAGATCTGACATTGTATGCTCTAAACATTTATGCTGTGCATGAACAATAACATGATTCTTTAGTACCATTTAGAATGATACAATGCAGCCTGATTTGAATTTAGAACAAGTTTCAAAGAACTATGTGGAATATTACTGCGTAATTAGATTTCACTAGATCGTTCAAGATGTATACTAATCCCCAAGAAAACTACAAAAAAAAGCCACACTTTGGCAACTCTTAAGCCTAGTAACAGGTTTGTACTTGACTGTATTCAAATGAACAACCACTCAAACACTAATACCATTCATCTGGCATATATGGTGGTGATTAGTAATAATAGTTAAAGTTATTTTCCCTAAAACAGACGACTATCATATTTCTTCAACAACAGTGGCATCTACTTTTCAGTTATAACAGAGTTAACAACTGGTTACATGCCAAGTTTTCTGTTTTTTTTTTTTTCTTATTTTTTTATATTATTTTGTCAGAAGGACACTTCTAGAATCTGCAAAACTCAAATAGTATCACGTAGTTGAAATATATTTGTATATATTACTTATTCTTCACTTGTAAATACTGTGTTACCAGTAATTATATATGAGTAATAGGAAGTATGAAGGGTTGTAACTTTATGTGCTGGTATGCAGTGAAGAAGGTGGAGGCAGCAGTGGTTTTAATATCTTGTGGAAAAAAGGAATGCTTAACCTGCAAGATGAATGGTAAATAATACATACTTTCTCTTAATTGTCACAGAAAATAAAATATTAAAAATTGAACACCTGCATGGGAAACAATTATGTCTAAATTTTATTACTGTGAATGAAGTAATAAAGTACCCATAATATACGAGTATATGTTCAAAGATAGCAGAGATTGAAGAAAAGGCACTAAAGAAGAGAAAATCAATGGACTATCATAGAATTATCAATAAAAGATTCTTGTAATAAATATAAAATAAATATAAAAATGCAGTGAAAGGCTACATGTCAAGAACATAAACTAAAGACCAATAGCAATAAAAACAATAATAAAAAATTGAAGTTGCAGCAAATACTTGACAGTATAACATAAAACATAATTTGGATGAATATTGCAGATGAGACAGATGAGTTATAGTTGCAGCAATCGTAGTTTCCAGATGTTACAGATGATTCATAGTAAAAAAGTGGAATGTTTGATAAATTTATTTTGTAATAGAGAGGTTACGGGCTGACAACCAAAATGTGACTTGAAATAACAATGTTGCAAATATGCTAATAACACCACATGTCTCAACATATCACAGTACCTGAAGCCCATTCATTGGAACGTTCTTCATAACATTCAGTAGTTAATGGATTTTCCAGTCACAAAGTTTGAATTATATGACTAATAGAGACTGATAGTGTCTAGCAACACTTTCAGTTATTTTAGGTTTATCTTCTGGAATTTCATAAATATATTCTTCTGGCAGAAAAATATTGACATACACACTTAAAATTTTTTTAACATAAAAAAATTATCATTATTATTAATATTGTAATTTTTATTATAATTATAATTGTTAGTATTAGTATTATTAAAAAAATTGATAGTATTTTTTTTCTAAGCAAGCAGAATATTTAGATAAATTTTAAGGTATTAACGCCACAATTCTTTAGTTAAGATTTATAATTTGATAAGGCTTAAATATATTTACTGTCTAAACAAAATGTTTTTCCATCAATTTATTATTACTTACATAATTTAAAGTATAACCTACTTAAATATCACTATTTTCATCTCTTAGCCATTGAAGAATTAGGTTTTTATTTATTGTGAAATTCAGAAAAAAGAAAAATGTTTTGTTGGTAATTTCAACTTTATAGAAACTATCATATTCTGGGTATCATTTTACTGAACAAACACAATTATATGCTTCAATGAACATAAATATTACCCAAATTGCAAATCAACTGTTCAAATGAAACCCATATTTGAAATACCAAATATTCATTTTGCCAAAACATAATTGAGAATAACGTTGAGAGTAACTATTAATTTCAAAGTTTGGCATTGCTGAATTTTCTATATCATAATACTTGCATTCATATTCAAAAATAAAATGTAATCAAACAGAAAATCAAAATTTATCACAGGAAACGTATTGCATTGAGAAGTCAGAACAGAGCATCAATGTTTCTCAGTTAGCCATAGCACAAAATATAAGATTACCTTTATAATTATGTGTAGGTAATATGATTCAACATTTGGGCAACATTTGCCTAGAACAGACCAACAAATTCTGACAGCAAAAGTTAATAAAAACCTTGTGACATGGAGGTTCCACTGATAAAAGAATTCTTAGAATTACTTACAAAGTATATTCCAGTTGATTCTATATATAAAACTTGACAATATCGGATATACTATACTTTTTCTGATAATGTTTCTGAACATTAATATATGACATTATAGCACATTGCAATGACTCTGTGGTCAATATACAAGTGCAAGATTTTTGAATCATGGATGCAATTTTTCATTTCATAAATGAAGGTGAAAATATTTTTTTTTGCCAGTAATACAATAAATTTGACTTTTTATTTATAAGTTGAAATTTAATTTATTTAAAAATGTTTCTGTTAAATCATATTGTATTTCTGTCAGCAAATTTTGTAACAGATTCAGATAACTTGCCTTGTATATCATTTCAGCCCACAAGCCCATCTATTCAGCCCAAAAGTTTTAGAAGAAAAAGTAAAGCTGCTGAAGGCATTGAGGAACTTTTGCCTCAGCATTTATTGTTAACAAAGCATGCTGCAGGAGTAATGATCTTGAACGCAAATGAACCAACAGATGCTTATTACAAAAGCACCTGAACACGTAACATTATTGCAGATGGTTAGTGCCTGCATCTGGCCAGCAAATGCATATGCAGACAACTCACAAAAGGACAATAAAACCACACTAGTTTGTTGTCTACAATGTAAATAATTTTTACAGAAAGACACTTCCTTCAGTAAAAATTTTAAACCATCTGACCATGGTTGTATAACAGCCTTGTGTCAATGTTACACTGTTAATTCCATACATGCACTAAAAAGAAACACTGATAAACTTCTTAACATTTAGTACTAATTTATGCTAAAAATGGTAAAAAATTAGATGAATACCCCAATATCCCAAATGCTATCAATGTCAAAATGATAACTTGCATTCAAAATGCATAACAAATGTGGCCAACGATGTCATATGAATATGGAGTCATGCGCAAAGATGTAAAATTTGCTTATAACAAATATCATTTGTCGTTTATATAGTTAACGATGCAAACTTTCTTCAGTTTTCTTCATATAAAGGGGAAAATATATGTACAGAGCTCTCCAAGAAATGCATTAAGAATCTCAGTATTATAGGTGCTTTTTATACTATTTACAATATTGTTGCAATTTGAACATGTGGCCCCAATCACATGTATACTAAAGGTTCTTTTGTGGAAAATGTGCTACACAAAACAGGTTTCTGTCAAAATATGAAACACAAGTTATTATGTTATTTCCTTTTCTGTAATATTTATATATTTATATATATACATGAACCTATGTACTCTTCATCCCAGATACAAATGCATGTGACATATCTGAGTGCGAGTTCGAGAACAATCTGATTATTTTACTGGGGCAAAAAATCACAGGCAGAGCTCAGTCATTATACAAACTCAAAGCAAGCCCTAGTAAGACCAATTAAAGGCATCTATAACTCATTAACTAAAAGTCTAGTTAACCTATTCTAAAACCAACTGCCACCACCTAACTTGCTGGTTATTCCACCTATTCCTTTTCCAAACATGTTGCCCATACGTCCAGCAATATTTGTTGTGACATTTGTAATTTTAGCCACATAGTTTCCATCTTCTCCAAGAGTCTCTCTAATTGTCACTTTCGGTTTGCTCCTGTCTCCATCGTCATCAATTCCGGTTTCTGGATATCCTCTGTAAGAAAATAAACACATTAAAAAAGAATAAGTTTTGAGTGTCAGAAGCAATGCCATAAAAGAGGCATGATTTGTAGACAGTTTTCCCAGAATCTCAACACACTAGAGGTCTCAAAATTGAACAATGAAAAAACTCTGAGGAAGATTTATACACTTATTTATTGTTACATGAATATTAAACTGACAAAGATGATAATTATAATTATATAAAATAATTTTATAATTATAATGTAATAATTATACATAAAATAATCAAAAAACAAACTCATTGCAATATATAATTCAATTAAACTTAGTAAAATAACTAATCATTAACCTTTACATCTATATTTATACACATTTTCCTGACATTTGCTCAATCATACAATAGTTTTCTAAGTGGTTGTCAAAGTTATACTTTGACATTTTTGATGTAGAGAGCATTGTCAATTATTTGTGTAATCATAAGAGCCAACAGTGCTAGTCATTATTTAAGTATTATTACCAAAAATTTGTTTTTAACTTAAAAATAAATGACAGACATAAGTTCTAAATACAAACAGAAGGAAAGAAGCAGCTTAATATTAACATTGATTTTGAGATAGAATTATTATATTTTAAAACTTTTTTTATTAATGTATATACTTTGCATTAAATAATATTATTTAGTATCATAAACAAAATTCATTTTATTAAGTCTCTAAATAAGATAGCCCAACAAATGCATTAAGTAAACTTTTTCTCTATATTAATTGTGTGATATAATTGTAAGTATACAAATGTTATATTTTAATTTTATGATATGAATCTTAAAGATAAATTACTTCATTTTCAACTTATAATGTTGACAAGGAAGATCTGTAACTTGTAATGCTAATATTCTCAGGACTGGTCCAAAGTTATTAATTCAAAACACAATTGATAATAATGAACTTATTTGAAATGAATTCAAAATATCTTATTCAACATATTGATCTAATTTCTAACAGAAACAGTTGGAGTAATCAGGAGTTGCCCCATTTTTTATTTATGGCTGGCATCAAACAAAGAGTAATTCTCCAATAAGCTAGTCAGTAGTTGCCTTTTACCCTTTCAGCCAGAGGCTCATAATCATTATCTTCCCAGGGTTCCCAGACAGTCAACCATTCAGGAACCCACAATGCTTGAGTTGCTTAACATCCGTGACTTTAAGGAGCATGGTTTAGCAATTTGACAACCGGCACTGGATTAGGGTTGTAAGTAATGCAATTGAACATTAGTTATTTTACCATACCATTGGGTTATGTTTCTGAGAATTTTCTGTGTGTATATAAAATATAAACTTATCTGAATTAAATGTGAAAACCAAAGTAGTAATGATAAGTACTACAACTTGTAAGATATCTACACATATGTGGAACAGAATGTAACACAAAATTAATTGCAGAGAAATTAATAAATAAATAATTTTTTACTTCACTGCTAATTCGTATGAACCAACATTAAAAAAAATTGAGGTCCCCCTGCAGTACATTTAGATTCATATAAACATGAAAGCTAAGTAAAATATTGAATACAAATAAAAAACTGTTAAGCCACTATAGAAAAGAAACTTACTCTGAATCTTCATTATCACGACGTGTACTCATTGTCAAGGCACACGTTGCCTCTTCAGTTTGCATCCTCTGGGAAATCGTTTGGTATGTTTTTGAATTTAGTTTATCTTCCATAACACCTTGTAACTCAAAGTCTGAATATAATTTCTGGAGACAAACAATAAAAGCAGAATATTAACTCACTGTTAATAAGTTTCAAGTATCAGACAATGTTGAGCACATATACAAGCTATAATTGATCTTCCTAGAAGAGTAGATAGAACAAACTAGTCATTCATTGAACAAATAGTGTTCAATAAAAATTAAATTAAATATTCATGCAATGTTACGGATAGTCACTGATCACTATGCCTAAATTTTGCAAGTACATTCAAACAAATATGTAATAAAAAAATAAAAATAAAAAAATTAGATAAAAAAATGCTTTAGGGTAATAAGGCCATGCAACAAACAAAATATTAACTTTAAATTAACTATTACAATAGAAAGAATTATTAGAGTTTCTTTATACACAAACTTCATCCCATGAATCTCACAGTGAGTTCATTACCATTTGTTCATTATTATTTATTACAATGTAGCAATGCCTCAAAAGATAGTCAAAATCTTCTTGTCTGTCTTAACAGACAAAAGAGTGGGTCTTTTTTCCCCCCGCCTTAATTTGTTCCGTCTGTATCGGAATGTCATTCTGAAACTTGGAGAACACCAATGGAGGATGTCAATAGGGAATCCCAGATTGAATTGCAATATGATTGAATTTTTTTCATATTTTATATCTAATAAAACATGTGTTTAGCAATATCTTACAATTGTTCGCTTCATGTTTGTGATAGAATATTTTCAATTTTTGAAGTATGACAAAGTTTTTTAAATTTTGAACATTTTCTGTTCTTTCTGCTGACACACAAATGGCCAGATACTATTTTTGAAAAGCCAGTTCAGTAGGTTTCTTTCATTTGGTTCTTACTATTTTATATATAAACTAACAATTAAAAAAAAAGTTACTTTCAATTATTGAAAGATCTAAATTTTGAAAGAACAGATGGAACTGTTTTTATAAATTACCTTTACTTCAAGAAAAATGTCAGTGAAAACGAAATTTTTCAAAACATTGTACATGATCTTACTTAAAGATACAATTTTTTAGAACTGATTTCATTAAGGAAAATATCTCTATCATCAATATTGCAGTTTTGCACTGATTATTTTTTTGCGATTTTCAAAAATACAGAGTATACCAAAATATTGGACATGCACACTTTTTATAAGTATGTATGGTTTTATTTGAGATGAAGAAAAATGAAAAAAATTGAACAGTTTTTGAGAAAAAAATTTCTATAATTCATGCAAAACTAGTACTCATATTTTTGAAATTGTACGTGACATTATTAAAAGATCTACCTTTGAAGAACATATTACACTGTGGCAAAAACACTCTTATCATCAATATTGTGATTGTAGGAAAAGGCTGAAAAAATGTTAAGCTTTTGAAACTTTCAAAAATTTAGAAAATTTAACTAACATTAGACCTGCTCTATTTTTTTAAACTATCTTTTGATATGATTTGATCTATCTGAGAGGAAAAAAATAAAAAAATTGGAAGCCAGTTTTGAGGAAATTTGGATAACGTTAAGGCTTTGCATAAAGTATTCCTTAAAATCAAAACCACAGAACCTCATGTTCAACTAGATCAACGAGGGAGAACCTTTTTTGGGGAAAATTGTCTGAATGGTTTATTTGCTAGCATTTACCACAGACAGTCAGAGACTTTTTGCCATCAATCAATTTTTACATATCAAGGACCAACAAAACATAGATTCTGATTATGAAAGGAGTTATAAGTAATTTGCTTCATATTATTATTATTAACTTGATTGGCCACATTGGACCACTTGAGTCATTCCACTTCACTTTTTACTGTTCATGGTCGACTGTCGAAGGTGTGTCACCTTGAGGTGAGGATAAATCCTCGAGCTACAATTCTGAATGTTCTTCAGTAAGGTGATGATGAGAGATGGAGGATGATGGATGATAGGGGGTGAAAGGACGAACACAATACAACCATGCCCGAGGCTGGACTAGAACCCGCGATCTTTCGGTACGAGATCGTTACGGCACTACTGCCTTAGCGATCTCGGCCACCGGATCGGCATTTGCTTCATATATGAACCAGATGAATCCACTTTTTCAATAACAGGGCTTCACAATTTAATTTTTGCTGTCAAGAATTTCCTGTTTCTCACTGCATAATTTCATAACTTTGTGCTAAGTAGTCGTATGTGAGAAAGTAAAAAAAATAACAAAACAATAATAACAGAAGCCAATACATTGCATTATGAAAAACACAATAATCTCTAATAATAAGGAAAAAGTAATGGGGGGTATCATAAATAAAAACTAGGAAGGATAGGAATGAAACAAGAAATAGAGTACATATAAACACTGATGGATGTGTCATAAAAATACCTAAACAAAGTATTAGCTGGCTATTTAAAAAAAAATTCTAATATTGCTCCAAGAATTTTTAAAAGTATTGAAAATCTTTGAACCTGATGAAAAACACTTAGATGCAGACACTTTTGATATTAGTTCAATGTTTTTGACATCAACAACTGAATTAGAAGTGGCAGGGGTTATAAACGGATTGTGTGATAACAAATCCCAGGTACAGATGCGATTACAGATTACTTGGTTAAGAAATGCCACATAAACATTGTACATAAATATCAATTAATCCATGTCATTATATAATAATTTTGATACCACAAAAATGAAGATATGGTACATATTCACTTTATAAATAAAGAAATTGATTAGAATATCACAAAAAAAAATGTTAAATTTGAACTTTTTTCACTTCATTTTGAACTATCTATGACAAATAAAAAAATAACCGTACATTATAGGACAATGCTCATTAATAATAGAGTATGAAATGTAAACCAATTTTATTAAAGAAGTATAACATCATGCAAAAAATGTTTTGTGAAAAGATTCCATAATGAGAATGTTAATATGAAAAATAGTTACCTTAACAACATGAGCTAAGCATGTGCACTGATAAAGATGAAGGGAATGATCCAACCTTTCGGAGAGCCAGTTGCAAAGCAGCTGAATTTGTGCAGTATACCATTGCTGCAAATTCCAATCATACAAATTACATTCACACGTTGCATGTATTATAGTAAAACTTCAATTTGATTGTAAAAAATTATAAATAAATAAACAAAAGAAATACACTAGTACAAGGCTTTATTTATTTCAAGTTTCATCAATAGTGTTTTAAATTCTAAGACATACAGATATTTTTTTTTCAATTGCAATTGAATTCTGATACTGATCTGAAATTTTAGAAACAGGTTTTGATCTATAAACTTTTTGTTTTACAATGCTAAATTATTATTTTATTGTCTTTAATTTCCTTTATATTCTTAGGGGCAAGAACAAAGATACATGGAAATTATATTTCTATAAATTGTTTTACACTTAATATTTATGCTAAGAAGTATTAATTATATGAATTTTCCATACATATGTAAGTATCAATTTAAATTTTCTGAGAAACTGCCAAAGTAAAAGACTGATAAACTTATTTAAGAGAAGAATTTAATAAACATATTTCCAAACTTGCATTGGTATTACAAATTTTTTAAGTTGTTTCAGAGGGTTGCAAGTAGTTTTTGAACCACTTCAAAAATCTTGTTTATTTACAACATCATTTGCGGGTAAATAACACACTATCTATTTTCCTTATCATGAAATTTAGATTGGTGTTATGGAAATGGCTATTCATTTGCTTCCACATTACTTTGATGTACAAAATCAAATTTTCTGAACTTAATTTAGTATTTGTACTTTTCAGTCAAGTCTTTTTGTGTTGATAAGCAGACAAAAATAACATTAAAAATTTCCTCTCTTCAAAGAGAAAAATCTTTCTTACAAGGGAAGGGCCTCAATAATTAACCAAAAATTCTCTTATGTTTTCATTCAATTATTACTAACATTATAGCAACCAGCCTGGTAGGGCAGGGACTTCTAGCAGGTGTACCCAAGAACAAGTTAATTTGAATCCTGTGTAAGGTATGTGTGTTTTCATCCATTATCATTGTGTGGCACAAAAAACATTCCCAGTCCCAAATGCATCACCCATAGTGTAACAAGAAGGGGGCAACTGCAGCCCTGAGCCTCCTTTTCTGGGGAAATCAGGTACTGAATATATAGAAATAAAATACTTTATTCCATAAGACTATTGAGCCCGTTTGAAAATTTTCAGGGCCCAGTTTGTCCACATGTCCACATCATTTATACGCTGGAGAAATTCTCCCAAAATGGTACAAACTTTGAAGCCGGCTTGATGGGACAGGCAATAGAGCCATGTGCGGCCAAGCCAAGTGTCAAAATGAAGCCTGTAGGATCAAATCTCATGGATGTTTTCAGTTCTGTTATGGCATGGTGGGTTTTCCCAGCACACATGTATCACCCCTAAACCCTAATCCTTCCCTTAATTCCTTTCCTTTTTTTGGTAATATTGAATGTTTGTGAATACTAGCTTTGTGTGAGATAATGGGCCCATGAGTCAGTCAATGCCATCTAGGTGTAGCCTGTCTCCCTCTAAACCGGACTGAACACCAATTGGCTCTTGGGCTTCTTTGGTTTAAATATAAAGTATGTACTTGTCCAGTGTCAATAACAATCACCAGTGCCAGTGTCGGCATCAATATCAACCCCCTGGGACTCTATAAAATTTTAAAGGTCAGTGATGATCAATAATGATCAAGGGGTAGATTGGGGGTAGATAGCTGAATATGCACTGGTAACAGATCAGTATAATCAACATCCAATTGAGTACAAAAAAATATAAATGAAGTTATTAATTGTTTCCTAATAAGAAGGTTCAAAACATCTACATAAATGTTCACATTTCTTAAAATTTTAAATGATAATAGTACCAAAAATAATAAAACATAAATGTAATAAACCATTTTTTCAAATCTTTTTGGTGAAATATTCTTTGTCCAATTGTTAAAATGTCATATATGTGTAAATATTTCTGTTATGATTATTTTGTATGCTGTTTATTGTAAAAAATGTCAAGGGGGTTGATGAAGCAATTCATTCTTTTGAAAGAGCTCGATTCAAAGAAAAGTTTGGGAATCCCAGAACTAAACGAATATGAACTTACAAGACATTGGCATGATGGATGGGACGGGAGGGGGGACTGGAGTATGTTAGGGCTCAGTTGCAACAGATTTCCATAAGACATCAACAGGTGTAAATGTGAATGGAAAACAGTAATATCAGGTACAAGCTTTCAGTTGAATCCATGATCTACCTTGAGTAATAATGTATGTGCATGAAAGATGAGGCCACAGAATACCTTCATGGAAAAATCTTGTTCCATGATACCTTGGTTCAAGTATATTAAGTATTGTAAGTGAATAAGTAAGCAGGCATAATTTTATAATATAAATGTAAACTAATGCATTATATAGGATGTCCACGGAGGAAATGTTGAAACTTCGGAAATAAGCTCTTGAGACAATTTTAAGCATATTTTGTCTAATAATCTCCTTGAATATTTTGAATGGCTGAGCTCCAATAAGTACTCAAAAGTTAGTTGGAAAAAATACTTTCTATGCAAAAATGTTATGCAGAAACATATAAAACTCCAAGAACATGATAATTGCTTATTATTTACCAAATAAATGAATAACTTATATTTGATCAGAAAGAAAAATTAATACAGATATAAAAAAGCGCTCAGTTTACACAATTCAACTGCTTTTTTCTGGGATAATTTTTCTAAGCGTACAAATATATTCATTTGGGAGAATGGTGGGAGTGATGGAATATGGCAGAGGCCTTGGAAAATACTTCAGGTGCCTGCAGATGGCAGTCGAGAGAGTCAGAAAACTAAAAAGTGTTCCATCTATACACCTACTAATAATACCTACCTACTAATAAAGTCATAGTAATCAGGTGGGAAGGTCATGCTATTAGAGGGTTCATTAATAAAAATCCCCCTCCAATACTTTCTAAATGGTAAAGATTTTGAGGAGGAATTTTCTACAAAACTGTTCAGAACATAGGGCTCATCAGTTGTTATACCTTTTTGATATAATTTTTTGGTAAAGATATTGGACTAACTTCGTTCCTTAATGGAACACTGTTTTAAAGAAATGAGTCAACGCTCTTTATGTTTGGGTTTTGCTGGATTTTGAAATTTAAGTGCCCTTACAAAATGAACTAAGGCTCATGAAAAATCATAATATTTCTTGTTGTGTAGATCGCAATTCAATGACATTTAATTTTACCCTCGTCTCAAATTTAAATTCTGAATGTGGAGAAATTATACCATAACTAATGTTGCTACAACAGCATATACTTTTTCACACTAATCCTAACTGCTCCGCTATATTATACTACTACATGAACCCGTAGTGTTTTTAAAAAGCAAACATGTTTTTCCCGTATCAAGACTCAAACTCATGTCCTCCGAGTTAACTTTCATTGCGCCTTACTTCTACGCCATGGAAACAGTCTGACGTAACAACTCGGACTGTCGCATAAAAATGTAATTGTCCCAACCCAATATTTTCAACACACAATTTTTTTAAATTCAAAGAAATCAACAAAATGAGACCTATACCATTATTTTAAGCGTCTGTTGTTTTAAACTTGAAAAAAATGTAAAGAAAAAATTGGAGTAGTTTTTGAGAAGTTCTTTTTATAATTTTCATTTATTTCAATTAGAAATTATGTGAAAACTACTATTTTTTTCAAAATATACATGACCTTTTTTAAACAGCTGACTTTCTTCGAACAGATTTTGTTTAAGGTAAAAAGTTTTCTTCAATTTTGTAGTTTTGAAATGTTGACTTTTCGGAATTTTTTCGAAAATACGAAAATGGAACTTGCACCAGTTTTTTCCGTTTTTTGATATATACAAGGAGAATATTTGAAGCTTTTTTTAAAAGAAAATAATTTATATTTAGAAACTGCATAAATTTCAAGAACAAATAACTCGAAATCTACTTGTTGTTTTAAGTGTGTGTGAACTTTTTTAAAGAGATACTTTTTAAACATATTTTAAGGTCAAAATTTCTATCTTCAATTTTTTTGTTTTGAAATGTCAACTTTCTGCAATTTTCAAAACTAAAGACAGTTCGTCGGAAATAAGACTAGCAATATTTTTTTTACCGTATATTGATACATATGAGGAGAAAAATTTAAGAAAATATTTGGAGCAGTTTAAAAAAATTAAAAATTGCCTATATTTCACACAAAAACGGTTCATATTTTCGAAAAATTGTACATTACCTTATTTCAAAATCTATCTTTTATGAAGGGAAAAATTATCTATCTTTTATGAAGGGAAAAATTTCTATCTTTAATATTGCAGTTGTACAAAGACATTAAAAAAATTGAATTTTCACGATGTTCAAAAAATTTGGTATTTCAACGAAAATGAGACCTGCACCATTCTCTTAAGCGCCCTTAACGGCATCAGAGGACAAAGTGTTTTCAAAAGATTTGGTGTCGCTCATTAGAACATTTTGAAAATGTTGATGGAACTTCATGTAAATTATTCTCAAAAATCAAAACATTCTCTTGAAACTCGCAACGACTAATTCTTTCAGATCGAGCGATCATTTTTGGAGAAAATCGGTTGAACGGTTAAAGCGCTATCGTTTACCATAGACAAACAGACAGATAGACAGACATGTTTTGCCGCCAATCTATTTTTCGTTATCAAGGAGCCAAAAAACTTGGACTCTGATTACACCACGAGTTAGAGGCAGCAGGGGCACAGTGCAACCCAACCACAAGAGCAGCATCCATCCATAAGAGTGAAGCACTCCCAATAGGAGAAGAACACATAGAACGGCGCGCTTCGCACACGTTCGCCACTGTAATACGTGGCGTGGTCAGAATCCATATCCTCGATACCCCAAAATCTATTGACGGCAAAACGGTCTGTCAGTTTGCCTGTCCATTTGTGGTCAACGCTAGCTCCTAAATCGTTGAGACGATTTTCTTCAAAGTTGATGTTTCCAGAGGCATGTCTAGGCTTTCAGGCACCCACGGCAAGCATAGAATTTTCGCCCCTGTCAGGAAATTTCAAATTAGGATTGTTGTTATTTGATTTAGCGTGTATTCTCTAAATGGCTTCCCCGTGAATGGCGCACATGGCACGTACCATGTCTTCCATACCGTAGATACGCCTCTTCCCTTTGTGTTATTTGTCAAAAACATGTTGTACACCAAAAATATGTAGAATTAATGAATTTGTCATCTCAAGACCTATTTTTTCGTGCGCGCGCGTGTGTGTGTGTGTGTGTGTGTGTGTGTGTGTGTGGGGAGTTTAATGTCCCGTTAAAAAATCTAAGTTGGTCCAATATCTTTCAAATAGACTACTTAATGGTGCTAAAACAGCACGTACCCCCCCCCCCGTACTTTCACACAAAATTACGCGAAAAGTACTCAAATATAGTACATTAGCTTATTTCAAAATATATCTTTATGGAATAGGTTTCATTAAGGGAAAACATTTTCTTTAATATTTTGGTTGTAGGTACTCCCAAAAAAAATTTCAACTTGTGTAATTTTCGAAAAATGAGTTTTTAACGAAAATGAGACCTACACATTTATCTTAACTGCCCTTCGAACTATCCAACAAAACATTTAATCAGGGACATCGTAATGTGTAATGTAATAATATGTAACAATATGTATAAACACTTTCAAATATGAAATGATATAAAAATATATCTAATACAAATAAACGAAATTTCCATTCAAAACGACTATTTTTTACAAACAAATTGTCAGTCAAGAAACCCTGGTAGGCAATGTATAAACCTACAAAGAAAAACGGTCTTCAACTGGGGTGGATGAACATAAACATGTTCTTTAACAAACAAACTTTTTTTATTGTCAGGTAGTCCAGCATTTTTAATGCTTAATTTTAAGATTTTAAAATGAAGAGAATTCAAATGCATTAGTAGAAAGAAATTTTCATTTTTGTTTCAATGAGGTGGATTCACTAGCGGAATAAAAAAATAAAAATTACGTTATCATCTTCTCCATTCGTATTTAAAGTATTTCTTTCTTTTAAATATACATTTTATGTAATTGCTAACATTTACAAAGATTGCACACATTTCTGATGGAATAAGGAGGAAGTAAGAAGCATCTAAAAAAAACAACAAAAAACAACGGCAGTTGAAAAAACTCAAAAATTAGTTTTTCAAGTACAAAATATATTTCAAATACAAATATTTAAATACTGTCCATCCCTGCAAATGTTACACAAATATTATGTGGAAAAGGCTGCGCAATTCGAAATGGTTTTTAAACTAATACAAAAATTAACCATGAAAAAACTTGCAATGCAGCTATGCTTTGCTGCAGTAAATTTTTTAAGTGTAGGAGAGTTTATAATTTGTTGTCTTGATTGAACATAGTTAATTTTTTTTTTTTTAATTGAATGTCTGTGTGTGTTACGTATGTACCTTGTTCAATCCATAGTTTACAACATAAATACAAGAAACAAGCTCATTTTCAGGATCTGAGAAATGCTTAACAGACTCTTGACATAATGGCCACAGAATCTTTGTTTACTTACAAAAATACTGATCATTAGAGACTTACCTCAAAAAAATTAAGAATCCAGAGTTCATCATTTACTTTACTTCGTATTTGATCCATACAGTTACGAGTGAAATTAACATAGGCTTGTCCCATATCTTTGCCTGACCCTGAGACATTCTGAAATATATGCATATATCATTCATTCCTTCATCACTGTGTTCATATTTTACAAAAATGATATTATGAAGATATACCGTGAAACTGAGGATGGAACCAATTAAACTCCCTTCATCGTATCGTGACAATTTGGATAATGTTGCCTCCAGTACTGATACCAATTTACTTATCATGCCTTGGGTCATATTGGCTGACGTCTTCTCTATGAGATCATCAATTTTTGTATGGTACTGGTGCTAAAAACAATCATTCAATAACATGAAAAAATGAGCAAAAAATTTAATTTACTATACTTCATTGATGTCATTTCTTTCCTCACCACATCAACTCCATCTACCGCACACAACTTGAAAGACTGGTTCTTAGCATCTAAGATAACATTAACCATTGCACACATTTCTGATGGGATAATATAATCAGTAGATGTAAACGTTACACCTTTCTTCAGCCATTGTTGAAATGCATTTTCAGTTCTGCAATTATTAGAAAGATACATTTAAATGAAAATACAATAAAATAATACAATTAAAATACCATAAATGTAGCATACTAATGTATTAGAATCTATTAAATAAAGTACTATTAATTCCATAGTCTGCCTTAGTTGCGCATTTTACAAGTGTATGGAATTGAAGGCAGCAGGTTCAGTTCTGTGTAAGGTATGGGTGTTATCACCACGTGGTTGGGGCTCATTTCACTATTTGTCCCTTTAGACCATCATTCCATTCATCTCGCATTATCATTCACCTTTCATGATCAGCTTTACCGTTACTCACAGTGGAAGGCAAAGGCAAACCAACACATTGGTCACCTGCCCAGGAAAGGACAAAGTTGTAAGCCTCCGCACTCACCTATGTTTAGTAATTGAATATGGCAATCATTATGAGTTTTACTACTCACTAATTTTATTAAATAATTTAAAATCGTTGTTATCATTTTTTCAGTTAAAATAAAACAAGGGGGACATTTACATCATAGGTTTCCAAAATGGATGGTACTATCCCTTGGTGGTCAGTACAAGGTTTCTGGGGTCTGTACGTGATTATAGTGGTATTAGAAAGTATTAAAAGATAATAAGGGTACGGTGAAAGCATGGGAAAAAGAAAAGAAAAAACACAGAAGTCAAGACTGTAAGTGGACATTGTCAAAAAAAATATCAATCTCATTTCGCCGGAAAACATCTATTCCCTAAAGTGTAATTCAAAAAGACCAGCTTAAACTCACTCAGTAGCAGTGTTGCTTGTTGTGATGATAGTATACTTATATTTCATGACTACACACTTCAAAGAAGCCTGTCAATTCCAGTTGTGTTAAAAGATAAGGAGGAAGTAATTAAATCGGAAACCTTCGGGGGAGCTTTACGTATTCAAGTGTAATTTCACAAATCCATAGAAAATATGTTTTCAGAGAACGTAATTCAAATGAAAATACGTTGAAAATATTTTTTTTACTCAAAATAAGCAATAAAATTTAATAAATTATTTAAAAGTTGACTAAAAGTTGTTATCAATCTGAAAGAATCAATAGGTATATATATTGAAAATACATTTAGTTTTTGGGAAAGGAGGCAAAAATATACCTAAAAATGGAAGTATCAATTGCTGTTGTTTGTGAAACAAATATTATTATATACGTTTACTATTGGAACCCGGCAGACGTTCTCCCCTTCATCTCCCTCTTTTTCTCGCTCTTTCTCTTTCCATCTCGCTCACCGTCTCTTCCCCTCTCTCTCTCTCTCTCTCTCTCTCTCTCTCTCTCTCTCTTTCTCTCTCTCTTTCTCTCTCTCTCTCTCTCTCTCTCTCTCTCTCTTCCTATCTCAGTCTGACTGTCCCTCTCACTCGCATTTAGTTGCAGATTCTGAACGTCTCTGAGCATGTGTGATAATATCGAGACGCGCCCGACCAGCAAAAACGTAATAGAATGCTCACGATCTAATCCTGTAAATTACGGTGTGATAAATGTTTCTTAGTGGCCTTTCGGCTCAAAATTTTAGTTTTTAATGCCCTAGAACGCTTTGTTGAGGAGTTATTTAACGATATAAATTTAAAAATGTGGTTTAATGTTGCGGGTTGTATTTGACATGAATATTTACTTTTGTTCTACAGCGCCATTTAGTGAATTTACAACAAAATTAAGAGCACATAAACCATCTGGGTGGAAAACATGTAGAAGTGACAACTTCCATGGAGATCGGTCACTCCACACGGTGTCGGAGTCAACCTCTCTCTCCCTCTCCCTCCCCCTCTCCCTCCCCCTCTCCCCCCCTCGCCACACACACACACACACACACACACACACACACACGCCATTCTTCATTTTTTGAAATGATGACGGCGTAGTTTCCTCTTCTTTGACCGCCACTTTAATCACTGAATGTTCCAGGCCCAAGAGAAGCCGCTCAGAAAACGAAAGTCGGGTGGGAAAATCAGTCAACGAGTTGCCTTAACTACGGACATATATGAACTATGTGATTGAGCCTTAACAGAAGGAACACCAGCTGTAACCGTGGCAAAGTTGGACACATCGCAAAGGATTGCGGAGGTAAATGGAAGCGAGGTAGATGCAAAGTAGATGCGGAAGCAAATGCAAGGTAAGCACCGCTTACCCAAGTAATTCGAACAAACAATTCTACGGTATATAACACCCGGAACATTACAAACTATGATAAACCTAACAAGAATGTTAGACATACCATATCCAATGAAACTTCCTCGCCAAGAGAGTGTTTTCTAACCCCCCCCCCCGTGAGTTAAGCTTCTATATCAATACAGAAAGGACTTCTTTGTGCTATCAAGAAGCTCACTGAGTTTTATCACAAGGATATAGAAGATTTGGCCCAAAAGCAGACTACTGCTGTGGTACAAATGAGGTGAGCTGAATATGTTCCATTTAAAATATCTCCTACATCTACATACAGTTCAGAGTATTTCATTTATTTCTGCCTGTATTGTTTGTGTGTGTGTGTGTGACTTTTGTGTGTGTGTAACGTGTTTTATTAGTGTAATATTCATTTAAAAGCTTAATCTAAAAATGTTATTTTTTGATCAATTGGCAGATTCTATTTTGCTTACCCACAAAAAATTCACACGTGGGACAAACGTTGTTCTTAAACATCGAAGAAATATCACAGACTTCGTGAAATATGCGTATCTGGCTTATTTTGGCATAGAGCTTGGTGACCAGGATAAAACATTCGTTCTTTATATAGTGTGTAGCACAAGTACAGAAGGTTTAATGTTATGGACGAATGCAAGGTAAAAAAGCATACCCTTTGCCATACCCATGGTTTGGAGGGGACCGTTACGTTGTAAAATGGCTAAACGCTTAAAATTTCTTCCGGAAGCAGTTGAAACCTGAATGTATTACTCATTAGCTTATTTTTCCATTGTTTATTGTAAAGTATTGACAGTTCTGAACCAATTTTTAAGAAATAATGTTTGACAACATTTAATGTATAATTAAAAATGTATGTGAAAACATAAATTATTGTCCTCATTTTCTAGAAAACGTGATGGCGGGAAACTGATAATATATTGTCTTTCAACATCCCAAAATTATGATAAAACGTTATTAAACGTTAAAAACGTTAAACCAAAACATCGTTTAGAAAATTGTAAAATGCAGAGCTACCATAGCAATGATATCGACTTTATGGAGATTAAAGCGAATGAAAGCCTTTTTAGGGCGAAAAGGTGGCTTAGGAGGAGACGTACGTATGGCTGTGGAGAAAACCTAAGCAGTATTAGTTGGGACCGGAGAGCATTCCGTTCCCCGAACATTCGACTGGGGGACGTGAACATCAACTGGGGGCGACAAATAACTTATTTAGGGGGGGTGTGAGATTGATCACAGACTCAGCTTTGACACCGCATTAACAGGACTACTGACGAGGCAGCGAAGATATGCTCCGATATCTTTAAGTTTGTCATATGTGTGAGGCCCGAGAGAGGCAAAGCGTAGAATGATCTCTTGTGCAGTTCATTCCCAAATGTTGTATGCGGCCCCAGCGTGGGCTAGCAAACTCAGGAAAGCTCGCGTGCGTTTGAAGTACGAGCTAGTACATAGGAGGTTGGCTCTGAGAATAGAGTCAACTTAACGCACGGTCTTTGACAGCGTAAAAGGGTTTTGGCTAGCGCACCTCCTATAGATCTGTTGGAGAAAGAAAGGAAAGCTGCCTACGACGATGTGAAAAAGCTCACTAATCCCATTTACGACTTACCTCTACGGAGGACGAAAGACATCAATAAGAGTGCACAAACGTCTCCTCTGGCAATATGGCCACAGAGGTGGAATAGAAATACTAAAGAAAGGTAGAAGATTATACTGCGCATCGAACCGTGGTTCAACAGAAGCAGGGGTGAGGTAGTTTACTATCTTGCTCAAGGGCTTTTTGGATACGGCTGCTTTCAATGTTATCAGTTTAGATTTAAAAGAGCAATCGACCCCAAATTTGAATTTTTTGGATACGAAGACGGCGATGCCACTCATACAGTATTTATTTGCGGATACACGGGATACTCGGAGAAGAAAACTGAACGAAGTTCTGGTCATGGATATTTCCCCATTAAACATGGTAGTACAGCTTCTGCTCAAATGAAAAAGAGCGGAGCTCAGTACAAGGGTTCCTCACCATCATGGAAAGATAAGAACGGCTTCATACATAGTTTAGAGCAATATATCTGTTACCTACTCGAAGTAATGTTTCCGCGGAGAATTGTATAGGCACAAGAAGAGTTAGTGTTGTTGCGGGTAGGAGTCCCACACACCAGGCAAGAACAATTTTTATCCGAGATAAGGCGTTCTCACCTCATCAAAAATTAAAATAATAATAAATTAATAATAATAAGTAAAATAATAGTAATAATAATATGTAAAATAATAATAATTTACGTCATAGTAATGTAGCCAAAACCATACACCGAGCTCTTGCCAACAGATCGGAACTGATGCAGGAAAGCTTGCCTTATTACAAATATCTACCGGAGCAATTTTGTCTAATGAGAGGACAAACATTTTGTGATATACTGCCATTGTTACAGATCAAATAATGGAATCAAATAAACTTGACACTGTCGTGTTCGACAAAACTACACACAGGGTAATAATAATAAATATCGCAGTCTCATTAGATCATAATCTGCTGATCAAAGAATCGCGGGGGTTCGAGTCCCGCCTCGGGCATGAGTATTTTTGTGTTTCTATGTGTGTGTTGTCCTCTCATCCCTCACTATCATCATTTTATCTTCCATACCCCAGGGCTAACACCCCTGGGGGATAAAAATCGTATTCAACTAAATGCTGATTCCCTGATAAAAATTACATACACCTGCCACCGAGATCAATAATGTATAGAGTCAAATATGAGGTATCTGAAGGGAGTGCGATTGTGAATGACTTTTTGAGTTCCAGAGTCTCTCCAGTCTCTTTTACTCCGCATTATTTTGAATAAAGGTAGAAAGGAAAATTTTAAAAT